CAAAGCAAGCGTAATTTTCGCTGCGAAAAACATCACATTCTGCGAAACATTTGCCTGTAGAATGTTTCGTGAAGAATCAGCATCCTCGCTCAAATTAATTAGAAGACAGTATTTCTCTTTCTTGTTGCTAAGAAAGTAGATTTAAATAGTCAAATGTAATTCAAATTCAAAAGATCAGATTAATCTAAGTAATTTTCGTGTATTAAAAGCATTCACCTGTCTTTTTAGTTCTGTTGTTAAGTAACACACAAAAGAAATTGTCTTTATTTCTATTTCGACGTTTTGTGTGCCCTTAATTTCTATACTAAAGCACTTTTTTCCCGCAAGGCTTAGCTATAGCCAAATTGCGGCAAAGTAAAGAAATTGAAAATCGATTTTCAGCAAATCAGGTCCTATACACAGGCTTTTTGTGGCGCCATTGCCACCGGGATTTTTGTCACGCTTGGATTGTAACTCCATTGCAACGAATAGCATGTGCGAAACAAATGCTTATTCCAGTGCGATTCGGTCGAAGTTTCCGGGTGATATCGCCAAAGGTTTCCTGCTTACCACGAAAATAACACTATCCGGCTTGAACATGCAGTTGATACAACTCCGTTCTATTTATCACGTTTCGCTAAAATCCTAGCGACATCGTGTTCAAATTAAATTGCAGCTGGTTACACCACGAACGCAATAAAAGGCCACAGCGGAAATTGCGACAAAATTGGCAGCAAAAATGGCCAAAGGAAGCCATTATATTAGGAACGTGGATTTCAGTTACCGCTTTACCCCCTAGCGTGGTTTACAGAATAAAACTGAGAATTGTCCTCTTGCCACCTTGGTAACCTAGTTTCAAGACATGAGAGAACTTAGCTTTGATGAGATGTTTACAGAGGGTCAACTTATTGAAATTATTTTATAGCTCCAAAGCTTAGGGGACTTTTGAAACAAAAGAAGTGACATTTATTGAAGTGGAGGCACGAATAAATGATTTCTAAGGCTCCAAGGCTAAAAGGACTATTAAAACAAAAGAAGTGACATTGAAGTGGAGGGTTGAATGGATGATTTCTTTCGCTATGTTAAAATTTTGGCCTATTTGTAGCAAGGGTACTTAATTTGGACTCTCCTATTCCACCAACAATGCCATAATTTGCTATCAATGATACAAAGGGGTGGCTCATAAAAAGCGCTGCAGACCAGGACGCAATGTTTTTTCCCCATCAATGTTGCCGGTTTTCACGTGACTTAATCATATTTCGAAATGAAGGAAAAAAAAGAAAAAAAAGAAATAAAATTAAAAATCAATCAATCAATCAATCAATCAGTCAGTCAATCAATCAATCAATCAATCAATCAATCAATACAGTCGAACCTCCCGTAAGCGACCACCCAAAATGTCAAGCCTAGGTGGTCGCTTACGGGAAGTGGTCGCTTACCAGAGCTTAGACCATATTGGGTTAAAATTTTGCCTCGTTAGTATATGGTAATTTATGACATTTAAGGTCGTCTCTTGTAAGACTGAGAGGGTACAGTGTATGTGCATTTTTTCTCTAGATTGTTAAATGTTTTATTAATGCGAAAAGTTAATTTTGAGAAAACATCAGGTACTATCCAGGAATGCAGTATGTTATAACCCCTTATTATCCAATTTCGCTCTAATATCTGTGAAGTGGTCGCTCACGGGAGGTTAAACGTCGCGGTCGCTTACAAGAGGTAGTCGCTTACAAATATTCCAGATATGGTGATTTGACTTGGAAACTTTTGGTCTTTAGGAAAACTGGTCACTGAGGAGAGGTGGTCGCAACCGGAGGTTCCACTCTGAATAAAAAAGCCTATCCTACTGAGGTTTTCGCTTCATCAGTTATAGAACCATAAAGAACTTGACGTCTTACACAATTTTAGGTCGACAGAGTTCTTTGTGATATATCAAAATTTCTCACAAAAACACTTTATGTGCAAGTCCTTTGACTTTTTGAGTCTCGCGAGCAGGCGATTAAAACATCCAGCGGTAACAAAGGGGAAGTAATTACGCTAATTAGACACATTTTGGAAGGCCAAAAAAAAAACTCACTAATTTTTAATGCACAAATTATAGGACTAGTTCGATTTTTCAAATGTGGGAAAGATTGTACTCTTTTATAACTAATTACAGCCATTACTTCGATTTCGTGTTATAAACGTCATTCCGAAAAATCAGGGGCGGGGGAGAACACTCTGCGACGCCTGGCACTTTTTTTGTGTCTGGATCATCCAACAAAAAGTGACGTCACATCCGGTAAACAAGCGGGTTGAGTGACAAAAAAAAAATTTGACTGCGACACAATCGTTCTCCCTGTAAGTAAAACAGCAATATTTCGCAATCGGCGGGATATTTCTAACGTTTTATTTGGC